GACATCCTAACGATGTGACGTAGCCTTTGCTGCAACTGACTACTACATGAGGAAAAGGCCCCTAAAGGTACAGAAGAACTCATACCGATGCAGGGGACCATCCTGCGACATGATGGACAGAGCAGTAGGGATGGTCTAGACAGAACCGGGTGTTGTCCACCACTGTCATGATGGCATCGTAGCCTTTAATACTGAAAGCCCTGAGACCCAATCGATGGATACGATGAGCCAGCACTCAGGTGGTGCCGGAATCGGCATTACCGAGCCATTGGCCCGAATGTGTTCGACTTGTATCTGGCGCATGTCTCACACGTCGCGACGTAGGAGGCCACATCGTCCTTCATGTTGGGCCAGTAGCACCAAGGCGACGCCAATAGGTAGGTGTGTCGAGTACCCGGGTGGGCCTCGCTGGCGGCGTTGTGGGTTGCGAGAAAAAGAAGCCTCGGAACCGCCATAGATGGTTTGAGGCCCCCACGAATTTCAAGTCATTGTGCTTGTTGCAGGGAACACGCAGAGAAAGGAGTAGGTTATAATGAAGACTGAATTGGCAGGGTTATGCTATCTAGCTCTGCTACATGAACATGGAAAGTTAAGAGCGACTCGTGGGGAGAGTCGCTAGCAACCTTTGGATGGTCATCTTCAATGTCAATGAAGATCTTTGACAGGTGTACGGATAAAAGTACCTTAGAACGTTACACTCAAAACGGAACCAACGGGAGTCATACTGAGGAGAGGTTGTGATGAACGCGCGTGGCTTGATGGGTTCGGCCAACGTTATTGGAATGTCGGGGGGTACAAAAAAGCGCAAGGCGGACGATATCTCCCCCGGTGGTGAAGAAGACGAAGGGCTCCTTGTCGACTTGACCGGCGAAGACGAAGCGGAAACTCCTGTGCCGTTCGAGGCAGTGCAAGTGGCCTCGAGTTGGATGAAGCGACCCGATGATCAGGCGGAACTCGAGCGGATTGCGGCTAGAGGGATGTTGGAAGGAGCCCTCCAAACGTTGGGGTTGTTGGAGGCCGTGGAGCAATTGTTGCGCGAGCGCCGCGAAGAAGAAGCAGTGCGGAAGGCCGAAGAGGCGGAGCGGGCTGTTCAAGAAGAGCAGCATCGATTGCGTGAAGTTGAATCAGCAGCGCTGGTGCAAAGTGCGGAAATGCCCGGTGCTACGACGACGACGTGGAAGTTCGAAGAGCCCGCGACGATGGTGCCGCATGAACACTTTTGGAAGTTGGAGGATCTTGACTTCGCGCAAGTTCGGACGGACGAAGTTCAATTCGTGGACGACTCGCGAAGCATTCGACATAGTCGGCGTTGCCGAGGCCGCTCGATTACGTTTGCGACGCCACGAGCGACGTCAATGTCGTCGACGAAGCCGACGAAGCAGGCATACCAGAGCGGGAATTCAAAGCCAACGCGAAATTGGCAGAGTTCGGGCGAACCCATGATGACTTCTGGCGCCACGTCTTGTGGATGCTGAACGCCGTGGCCACGATGTCGATGGTGGCCGCTGATGGACGATGGTTCGCGCGCAACAAGGGCCGCAAGGCGATCCAAGTTGGGTGCTAGACCTGGGGCACGTCGACCTGTGTGATGGCGAGACGTTGTTGGAGTACGTTACCGTGCTCATGTGCTCGTTGCTGCGTCCAAACACGGGACGGCAAAAGAATCGGCGTGTTGGGTGGTCGACGACTGTGGGATCCTTGGCCGGGTCTTTCACGCCTTTCGTGCACAAAAGGCGTGATCAGGGAGGGCCGATTTGTGGTGGAGGACGAAATCGCTGACAGATAAGGTTTCCAAATTGGAACGACTAAGGCAGTCGGATTTTGTCACTGGCCGCTGATGAGTGAGCGCGAGATTGTCCTTGATCTGTTGCAACACAGATTTATGATTGGAAAGGAAGCCCGTCAAATCTGGACGGAACGCGCTGGAATGTCGCGGGTTTCGGAGATGGCTTCGATCGCCGGAGAAACAGCAGAAAGCGTCACCCCCTTGAAACGGGACTGTCGAGGAGTTGAGGGATACGAGGGTGGCGCAAATGGACAGCATAGTGCGGAGAGACGCCCATGGAAGCTTTTACGGACGTGTTGTACGCAATGATGGCGTGGGGCAGGAGCGGGCCTACGATGCAGAAGGTTGTCTACTAATTATGCGCGCAAGATGTCCTCAAGAGCGCGGTTGGCACGCTCGGTCTGACCATCCGACTCGGGGTGGTCTGTCGTAGACATGGCAAGGTCGGTGCCACAGAACTCGAACAGAACCGACCTAATGTGGGAGGTGAAGCGGGGATCGCGGTCTGATACGATGGGCCTCGGAAGTCCAAAGCAACAGAAGCATGATCAAAGAAATGGCGAGCGGCGTCAACGCCGCTGATGGATTCCTTGACAGGGACGGCCACGATATACTTGGACGCCCTCTTTTCGCAAACCATGATACCTGTGTGACCACGAGCGTCACGCGGGAGACCAAACATAAAGTCCATGCTGACCGATGACCAGAGCTCATCGGGAATCAGTAATGGTTGTAGTTGCGCCAGCGATGAAGATGCGACCTTGGTGCGTTGACAGGCGCAACGTGGCGGTCAACAGCTTTGTATTGGCGAGGCCACCAATACGAACGGGACATTGCAGCGTACATTTTGTTGCGGCCTAAAATGGCCGCCACTGGGCGAATCATGGTACGTGCGCAGAAGAGAGGCACGAATCGCAGAATCCACAGGACAACAATGCGAGGAGGTGAGTCCTGGGCGAGCTGGAAGTAGAGCAGGCCATCGCGAACAGATTAGCGATGGAGTAATGACAGGGATCGCCTGCAGCTCGGGGGCGGTGAGAGGCACTGAGCATGGCCGAGCAAGTCGTGTCAAGAGAATAGGCAGCTCGGATGCGGTCATGGAGATCGGAGTGGAGGAATCCGATCGAGATAAGGTCCACAGACGACAGTAATCCGGACGCCGAGAGAGCGAGTCAGCCAAAACATTGTCCTTGCCCGGTTTGTATTGAACCGAGAAGTTGTATTCGGCGAAGAAGGAATGCCAGCGAGCCATGCGGGCTGACATGTGGGGCGTGTTGACGGCAGTTCGCAACGACGCGTGGTCGGTGTACACGACGAAGGAGTCCGCGCCGATGAGGTAGACGCGGAACTTGGTGAGGGCGTATTTGATCGAAAGGAGCTCGAGATCGTGGACCGGGTACGAGCGCTCGGCAGCTTGGAGCTGGCGACTTTGAAAGGATACGTGGCGCCAGCAACCATAAACGTCAGGCAGCTTAAGAAACAACCGATGGCATAGTAGGAGGCGGCACACACGACGCTGAACGGCTTGGAAAGTCAGGAAGCGCCAAAATAGGGGCGACGTTGTTGCTAGATTTGAGGGCGTCGAAGGCGGATTGACAGTCGCTCGGCCAAACCCATGGGGCGTTCGTGACTAGCAACCGAAAGAGGGGTTGCGCGATGTCAGCGAAACCACGAGAGTACTTGGAGGTAAGGAGCAAAGCCAAACACCGGCGAAGGTCGGTAACCGAGGAGGGGACTGGTCAGTCGATAATGGTCTTGACTTTGTCGGAATCAGCCCGATAATCACGAACGCCGACGAGGTCGCCAAGGACAGGGATTTCGTCGACCCCAAGTAGACATTTGGCGAGGTTGGCGCACAAGCCATTCTCACGAAGGACGGTGAGAATGGCACGACGATGCCGACATTGAACTTCGACGTTGGTCTCGGTTTCAGAGTCGCGACTATGGATGTAGATGTCATCAAAATAGGACGACGCAAAGTCGCGGAGAGGGCGGATCTTGGCCGTCACTATGCGATTGAAAGTCGAAGGGGCATACTGTAGGATAGGCCTTGGGGCATCACGAGCTATTCTCAATGCATTCCACTCGGTGTCGAGACGGCGGTCTTCGTCACGTCATAAAGGAGCATGAGAATTTGATAGAAATCCATCGCGAAGGGCGATGGTCGAGAATATTATTGATCGACCCATGCCGTCGATAATCACATCTTTGCGGGGAATCGGTGTTTGCGCCGGAATGGTGGTGGCGTAGAGCGTTAAAGGCGTGAACGATCCGCCATTTGCCGTTGGGTTTCTTCACACAGAATGTCGGGCTGCTGTGTGGTGATGTGCTTTCGCGTACATGGCCGGTGGCTTTACGAGCCGCAAAGAAGGCGTCGATCGCTTCGACTTGATCACGTGGAAATGGTCATTGGAGAGTAACGCAATACTTCGTGCCGGGCACAAGGTCAATTTTGCGGCGTATACCCTTGTCGACGGGTAGCCGACAGGACACGTCGTCGGGGAATACATCCTTGAATTCATGAAGGAGGTCGAAGAATGGATTCGAGCGGAGGGATTATCACGTCTGGGACTCCGCTGGATTGGGCAAGACAGATTCGTCTGCAGTGGATGAGGACAAAAGGTCGAGGTCTTCATCGCACGGGATCATCGCTATGCACGCTATGTCGTGCGAATGGAGGGCCTCCAAAAAGGAGTGATAACTCATCTCTGGCAATGCCAGGTTTGCGGAGGATGATCGAGGCAACTCGTCGAAGTTGCAAGCGTGCTGAATGAACGCATCCGCAGTGACAAATTGAGGAGTTGAGATAGTCGGCGCTGTAACAAATGACCTGACTGGTGAATTTGAGCCCATCGCGATTGAAGGGGCGTCGGAAGGGCGAGATTGGTGTGAGAACGAGGTGGATCGATGGGAGTTGTAGATACGACGACGGCGTCTGCTGGAGAGCTAGCAGACGAGGGTGCAACCTCTCAGGGTGAGGTTGCCGACGTGGTCTGCGAAGGCAAGTGTGGAACAAGCACACTGGTGCGGCATCCGCCGCGAGTACATTACTCATCGCCGTGAGGACAGAGGCCACGGATAACGCCGAAGGCTGTGAAGCCTTATCAGCGGCGCGTCGCCGGATCCACGGCTATTCAGTGTTCAGCTATACGACCTTGTGGATGGTTTTGAGTATCCAATCGATCCATGGTTGATTGGATTCAAGCCAAGCCATTCCAAGGATGAGGTCCCAACGCTCATCCAAATTGATCACAAAGAACGTTTCGAGCGAGTCGACATCGCCGAAGGTAACAGGCAGCTTGACCACTTAGCGCTGCTGGGCGGAGATGCGGCCGTTGGCCTTCTTTACGCGAACCATGTCAGGGGAGTTCGACAGGGGGAGAGAAGTGGCCAAAACTGGAGCGGTTGGCTGAGGCATACGGCTCAGCTAGGGCGATGCGGACAGCCTCTTCGAACGAGGCTGAATAGACAGGGAATTGCTGTGTACGTGTCGGACCATGGTTGAGGCCGGCATGTAGACGCGGAGCGCTTCCGGTAGCGTGGAGTCGTCGTTGACATTCGTGGCCAAAAGGCGAAGATCGTGAATGTAATCTTGCAAGGAGCTTTTGCCTTGCTTGCATGCGAGAAACTTAGAGCGATGTTGGAAATCGCTATGTTGAGGAAGGAAGAGGAGCTTCATATCGCCGCAACGAGCTCGTCAAACGTTGCGAATGACGTGGGGTTGGTCAAGTGGATGGAGTACGCCCAGTCTTCCGCCTGACCCTT